AAGTCCCTTCTTCAATCCGTGTCCTAACCAACTATGCGCCTCTGTCTATATAGAAAATCGAAATATACTTAGAAAGACCATCTGTGTAGCCATCCAAAGATCCCACATCGTAGTTCCATTTGACTATCCCGACAGCCAAACAAACCACCTTATTACATATCCGGCTCATCATATTCCACTTCATCATTTGGTTCCTTTGGTTCCTGCGCCTCGTGAAATTGAATCGCATCATCAATATAACTCAAGATTCCACTCACACTATCCTCACTCTGCACATCCAACCTCAGATATGACACCATACTAAAACTATCAATCAAACCCGCAACCGCCTTGTTCAATCTTCGAAAACTATTCCCCTTCATCAATGTTTGCGCATCCTTTGCTTCTCCTTCCCCATCATCTTCTTCCTGATCATCATCCAATAATGACGTATCTGGATCTAAAAATCTCTTCAATTCCCTCTTCGCAACTTGTCCTTTTACCAAATCCATCTTGGAAAGAATATTCACATGTGGAACCTCGAGCATAATCATCGCACTCATAGCAGATAAAGTGCCTGCGAAAAACTTCGCCCGATCAACTACAAATGTCGCTTCTAATAAATATGCCGCGCAGAGATTAATATCTAGCGCGCCTGTCTTTGTCAAGAATTTCACCAAGGCAGGCAAAATCGGGATATGTGTGTATAATTCTATCTGGCCCGGCATATCGATTATGATGAGATATTCTTCCGTGAGAGGCTCGATGGCTTCAGAGAGAAAATCCAAATTCTCGAGTAGGAATTCGAAACAATAGATTAGACCGCCGTTGGGACCGAGTCCCATTTCTTCCATGACATCTTCGAGGGAGATGAGGTCTTTGATGTCGAGATCGGGTTCGTGGGAAAAGGTTTCGGCTGCCGGGTCGAGGTTGATATAGAAGCAAGAGCGGCGATTGTTTTGGAGGTGGTTTATTAGACCGGTACAGAAGGTTGTCTAAGTTAGTGAGGGGGGTTAGTATGTATACTTTTTTGTAGATAATAGCGTTATTCACAAGAGTTGAGTTGAGGCTTTAATGATGAATAGCTGGAGCAGGAGAAAGGCGCATAAGACTCACTTTTCCTGCACCTGCAGGTCCCATTACTAGGACGCCAAATTTACTCATTTTGAATGTTGATTTCGATTAATGGTGGCTCACTATGTAATGTGAATGATGGTATTTTTATGTTATGAGAGCAATGATATTTCGTAGATTGTGATGGTAAATGGTGATAGTGGGGTAGCTATCAAAAGAAAAAAATGGTTCAGCCTTCTAGACCGAATTGATAAAGATTTTTCGCACAAGGCTGTGATTATAAGGCTGAGAATAACTTTATTACCTACTACGAAGCGTGCTAGGATGAAACTAGTACCTGGTGGATATTGAGCCAGCACCGGTTTGTCTCGGCACGAACCCTCAACAAACTCGAATGTGTTTATTACTCTGCACAAACTTCAACAATCAATCAATGATGGAATTACCTAGTAAATAAGAAGATCAATGAATAAATATTATGATTCCGAATTCCAAACACGTGTACAGTACTTACATACCCCAGCTTCAGACCGGGGATATGTGAATATTGGATTCGGTGTCCGAGATAGAATACACCTCCCTAGCAGCTGATTGACGCCGATGAACCACTCTCTAGTACTCTACAAGCCAATGAACTCAACAAATTTTGCCAACTTATCTAAAACTTCATAAACGATATGAGTGAGACTTGCTTAATCAACGATGTCTAAGAAAGGCAACTGGAACTGCAAGTGGTCATATTTTGACGCCTTTTGTATGGTATGAATGGAATGCATGGGATGAATCCTGCATTGAAATCTTACATACATACCTACATCACAACGTTGCGGGTATCTTAGCAATCCAATGCGGTGAATATTAAAAATGTCGCTTGCCCGTTTTCCAATCCGGCCCATCCTCTTTTAAGTGCAAGATATGGTGCAATTC